AGCAAGAAAAATACTTTTCAGTTAAATATATCTACCTTTAAGCTTGAAAATTGCTTCTTCATTTCTTTAATACAAAATAATAAATTATAGTTTAAAAAACTAAAAAACACACTTTAAAGGAATTTTTAAACCTCCGCCTTTAAAGCTCTTCCCTACCATCTTGTTTGTGAAAATTAATGCTTATGGCGCATTTATTTCGTCAGTTATCGCACTTATAGTATATTTTAACATAACTGTTATATGGAGAGTGGGCGTGGTTATTATCTGATTTTGCTTGAGTTAGCTTTAGCGGTTTGAAAGATATAAACATTAAACCTTTTAGGGGCGGGGTTGCGCCCACCATTAAAGTAATGGAAAATTGTTATCAAATTATTGCATTGTTATCGGTCCTTGACACGTTTGGAAAGTTTCAAGATGATCAGACTTCTTGAAACCGATGAAAATTGAGCTCTAAGATTCCATTACATACATACAACCCAAGCTAATAAAAGCGTACTAAGAAACCTCAGCTGAAAGTCAAGTGAGACAAGTTTATGGTGATCTTTAGCCGAGCGAAAGTAAAAAAATGTGATTTGCATTTAAAAGTGGTAATATTCGGAAGACGAAGAACGTCCTGGGCGGACAAAAAAGGTTGAATATAAGAAACTGGATGTAGATTGTTGTCAAATACGAAAAGAGCTCGCAGAATTTTCGGGAGTCACTTAAGCAGCCATTTCAAGTTGTTTAAAAGCCATTTTGAACCGTTAATATTCTGCTTGAACGCTACAAAGATAATTATTTTTTCATCGGAATGTAAATAATGATGAAAAATTGATCCATTACGACAACCCTTAATACAAAGGTCATAAGTAGAAGAATCAGACCAACAGCGATTTCCAAAATTCTAGACTAGACACAAGGTAACAATTTTTTACCATGACAATGCCTCGCCTTATGTTGCAATACGATCAGAAACTATATATTTTGAAAATATCGACTATGAGGTTGTGCCTCATCCGCCTTATAGCCCGAAATTTCGAAAATTGCAAAACATTTAGCTTTTCGCTATTATTAAACTCCTTTTTAATAAACTTAAAATGCGCTTCCACATGAGTGACTAATGCACGTAATTCTTGCCATATTTAAATAATAAGTTTTCAAGTAGTTGGTTCCTTCTAAGCATTGCTAATAACTACCGCGGTAAAAGCACGTAAAAAATTTGAACCTAAAATTGTTATGCTGGAAAAGCAGAAACCTGATATTTGAATTTTAATTTGCCGGCATACTCGTACACACGACTCCTTTCGCTCGATGCAGCGGTGCTACTTTGGCAAACTTTGCGCCAAAAATAATTAAGTGTAGCGAAGTGTAATGCAGCAAGTAGCTGCATTTGAGAACCTCAATCAAAACAACCGTCAACAACTAACAACAAAATATGTGCTTACATAGAAGTATGCCATAATCATTTACCTGAAACAGGTACGGGTGGTTCTTAAATCTAGGATGATTTTTTTTAAGCAGATTTCTTACAACTCAACTATTAAGCCGAATATTTATTCCACATACTTTTTAGTTCCGATTCGACGCTAAGATTAATTTTTTTTGTAATTTTTTGAATAAAGGAATCTCAATTTTGACACACCGTGCAACATGTCTTTTCCAATTTTAAACAGCATTAATAATTTTATGTACAATAAAATCGTTGGTCTTCGTCTTACCGATTATAGCCGTGTGACCGAAAACAACGTTAATTTAATTTTTTCAGTACCACCCTAATGTGTATAAATAACTATATGATAGCAAAATGAGGTAAGATTACGTTTCTACTGCAGTAATAATCATGATGGAATGATAACTACTCACAATATATGTATAAATACACATATCTGGGTCTGTGCATATGTATGTGTGTAATACAGGCAAGAAGACTTCCGCAAACGCTCTGTCAAATTTTCGCTGTTCGTACTTCATACTTATACGAGAATTTATCATACGTCATATGCTCCCAGAACGTATGTATGTTTCTACTTACACTCACATACATTCCAATGCCGCCTCGACTAATATACGTATACATATGTAAGTGAGTTATTCTATCATTAGGATCATAGTTTTTGCATCGTTCTTCTTCTACAACTTATTAATTATAACTTAATTAACCACAAATAAGAGATTAATTTTGTACATTGATCTCTCTCTCGCACTTCTGCTATCTAACTATTGGCTGTCAATTGCTGCTAGCTATTTATCCTCGTAGCCACCACAAAACGCACACATATGTATTAGTGCATGTACACATATACCTATAAAGACTGAGGGATTATAGTTCTTATAAACGTTAGCATGAGGAATAAATGTCATTAAACAATCGAAATAAATACTTTATCTGTAGAAAAGGATTATTCGCCCGTCAATGAGCTTAGTTGAATAACCGTGGAATATTTGAGAAAATTTTCATTTGATAGTAATTCAAATCTGGAGTTTAAATTGAGGTAGAGGAGTGCTTAAATAATAATAATTTTACGGTTTTATTTGACTTTTTTGAAACAAAAAACTGATTTTAACGGAACAAATAGAAAAACCGGAGCACAAAATTTATGACAAGAAGTTTTTATTTTTTATTTCACTTTCGCGTATTTATTAATATTAACTAGTAAATATAAGTGTCTTCGATTCGCATTTACTCTGTTGGCTATCTTGGTGCGCTGCTCTTTTGTTAAAAAATGTACATGTAAAAGCAACAACAAGGGTATCGAGTTGGTTTAAGTGGTATAAACGCTTTCTCTAATGCTACCAAGTTTTGTTTTACACATTTTACCAGTTTTATCATTGTGAATGGATTATATGATGAAAATTCAATATTTTTTTTATGGAATTTTTAAACTTAAGGCTGGAAATAATGTATAGTTGTATATAAAAAACGTAAGCCTTGATAGGTGACCGTGATACCAATGATGGTTGAAACACAAGTGCTGCCCTTTTGTGTGTACAACTGGTATAGTGTGTTCGATTCACTATATGGCAGCGCTTGGCTGCAGCTATTATCTATGTTATTATAGTTACTTTCAAAGGTTAAATTAATACAACCTTTAGCGATAATGCATTACTTTATACGCGGCGACATTTTTTTTGAGTCAATGTTTAAGATATGAAAAATTAATAGTTTTGTTAACAGTTAATTACATTTACTATTTTATTATTTATTGTCTGGTATTAAGCAAGCAGATTCAATAAATAAGAAAAATATCACATATTTTTGATTATAAAAACAGAATTGTCACAATAGCGGGTAGCTTAACAACGACAAGAAGACTTTTCAGCTGTCAAAATATTCTGTGGGATACTTATGAAATGTCTGCAGAGAAAGAAAGTCAGAAGAAAATAAATATACGCCATTTTCCTCTAACAGCGACTGTCGAAAGAAAGTGCGCAAACTTTTAATTTTTTGGTATCAAGAGAGATACAGAGAGAAGAGAAGGGATCAAGTGAGAAATATGATGAAGAGAGAGATTATAAAGTGTATAGGCGCAAAAAATTAAATAGGTAGAGAGAGTACGACGACAGGGAGAGATAAAGAGAGTGAGAAAGTGGTAGGAGAAAATGTTGAATGTTATTAACCTCAGTAGTTTGCTCATCAATTTCTGTTCTGAAAGCTCATAAATAGTTAATGAACGCGAATCGATCCCATTTTCATTCACATTTCTTTTATATCATTATTCGTAACAAATACAACAACGTATACAGTTGTAGGAGTCACTGTTGTTCTGAGGCATCAAAATATATCAGATTGAAGAGTAATCGTTATATAAAGTGCCAATTAACTAATAGTCCCGTATATTACGTGGCTATCATTGTATCCAAATTGAGTCTGTGCTAACATTTTACCGAATGATCAAATTTGTCACAGACTGAATCTATATTTTCACGTGTTTTAATACAAATTCTTCATTATCGCCTTAAAAATAGGCTCTTGAGCCAATATGAGCATGCCAACGCTTAATCCAACTTTTTATACAATGGATATAAGCTTCGGCGCGATTCGATAAAGTAATGATGCGTTTAATGAATGTAAGGTTCGCAGCTACTTTTTCAAGCATCCATTTTGCGACATCTGCTGGATGTTATTGTCTTTGAAGTTTGGTTAATGGTGAATCATGAAATGGCGAAATGAAATATGCATTCGGATAATCTATTATTTATTTTGGTTTTTTCTTTCTTAGTTTTTTTATTTAAATTTTTTTTTCTAGGATACGGTAAAGTTCTTCGGGGTGAAGTGCTGTTTTCAGAAGCGACTGCTGTTTTAAATTGTTCAATATATGTCTATTTCAGATGAAAAGCTCAGCACTTATAGTACAAGTATTAGAAGCTTACACATAGAAATGTGAGTACACTAAACCATAATTGTCTATCTTATTTGATCAGGACAACATTCGATTAAAGCTAAGCAACTCCTTGCAAGGAGGCTATTCATTTCCTACCCAATATATGAACAATTCTTTGATTATTAAATAATTAAATCCCTAGGAACTCTTACTTTGTGCATACTTCCTTTAAACTTTTCTCCCGCTGATATAACGGAAACCGAATCGATTTTGAAAGACGGAACTTAAATATGCAACGGTAGCTGCTAAATTTCCGTTAGATTTGTTAAATATCACCATTCCTCATAAAACAAATATTTGCAATATACCAAACAGCGGGAATATCCTGGCTAAGAGCGTCAAGTGAAAAGGTAGAGCTGCAGCATTTGGCTGCAGGAAATCAAACGTTATGGTGGCACCTTACGCTCCCGTGATGCCAAGTTGCTTATTTATGCATTTATGATACGGTTTGCTGGCGTTAGCTAGAAAATGGCAACAATATAATAGAGCAGCGCTTGGTGCCGCTTAACGTTGCTGTCATATGTTGCACAGCTCAACCGATACCTACATACTTGTGTATATTTGACTATTATTTCGAAGCTTTGCGAGTCGCTTAGCACCTATGTAGGGTTGTTTTATTTGCTCTCTTGTTGCACTTACCTTTTCCGCATCCAAACCACCCGGAATCTGTGTGCCATCCTTTGAGCAGAAGCAATATGGCAATTGACACTCTTCGGTATTGCAACGCTGTGCCCTATCAGCCGGGGCATCTGTTGCTGGTGTTGGTGCTGCAAAATTGTAAAACAAAAAGAAATATGTGTTAGAATGAACCTCACTTCCAAATGCGCAAATAAATAAAGAAGAAATTAAACTGGCTACTAACTAACTGTAGTGGAAACGGGAAGCAAAGCAGAAATTAAACAATAACTCAATACACACAAGCAAAATCGGGACATAGTTAAATTCATAACAAGAAAAAGCGTTAACTGCACTGCACCGAAGCTATAATACCCTTCGCAAATACAAAGCATTCCTTACAAGAACTTGATTTTGATCGTTCAGTTTGTATGGCAGCTATATGCTATAGTAACATGATCTGAACAATTTTTGTGGAGATTGAACTGTTGCCTTAGGTTATAACACACAACAAATCAACGATAACTCAGGCCAAATTTCTTGAAGATATCTCGTTAAATGAAAAAACTTTCCTATATGCTACAGTAGTTCGATATCGTCCATTCCGCCAATTGAGCTTTTTTGGAAAACAGGACATTAGCAAATTTTCAGATGGATATCTCGAAAACTGAGCAACAAGTTCGCGTATATGCAGATAGACAGACGGACATGGCTAAATCGATTCAGCTCGTCGTGGTGGTAATTTATATATAGAGTCTTCGACGTTTCCTTCTGGCGGTTACAAACTTCGTGGCAAACTTAATATTGCTAAGGATATGTCAAATACGAAACCCAAATTCTTTTAAATTTTCTTTGACAGATGTTCTCAACTATCGGTGATATATTGCTCAGCTCGATTTTGGAAATGTCTTTCTTAAAATCGTTGCAATAAATGCAAAAGCTAAGGACTCGTGATGGCTGACGACTTTCTGTTCAAACGATATAAATTCTGTATGATCAATTTGAGGTTAGAATTAACCATAATTTCAAGTACGGTTTTAACGTCAAATACCTAGATTACCTCAAATTATCCGCAAAAATAAGTTGGAATTCTTAGCCAGATGTTTACTTGTGTAGAGTCATTGAAAATATAACCTCCAATTAATCGATGAAACGATCATCCCTTATTTCCAAACACTTTTGAATATATTCATGAAAATATACAATAATAGAAGTTATTGGGTCATCAGGTTGAAAATGAATTTATTCTTTAAATCACTAAAAAAATACAGTAGCTTCTGATAAGAAAAACTCAGTTATTTACCGTTATATTAGGTGTTAACAAGTCATGGTATATAATTCAGCTGATTCGAATTTCAAATGTCTTGAGTTTTCGAATAATAAAAAGATTTTATGCTTTATATGTGTACATAAACTTTTGGAGCTTTTGTGCTTCGTGTTATGCACGAAGCTATTTGACAATCAAAAGGCACGTTACGCCAAGAACAACCAATAGGATTGGCAGATCAACAAAATCGTACGCACAACAACAAATTAAACACTGTGAAGGTCTTGTCACAATAATATTTAATATGCCTTAAAATAATATGAAAAGAAATTATTAAGAGTAAGTTATGGATAAGATTAACAAATTCGCCGAAGTCTTTCAAAAATTAAGGGTTAATCATTGGGTGTAGGGACGATGTATCGCTTGTCCATAGTAATACCAATGTCTCACTTAAGCCAAACCTGTCCAAATATATACTATTTACAGATATCTACCAGTAGATCCGGTTCTAAGAGGTTGAAATAAAATGATATCGAATTAAGTAATTAGCTTTGAGGAATATGCAAAGAAGAGGGTATTCGGTAAGTGGGTAGGGTAGCTGTCTGACGACGCACCTAGGTCTATAGGAGACCCATTGTGATACCACCGAGACTAATGTTCCCCCACTGTAAGGTGCACCTAGCTGCTGGTAATGTCTACCAATTAGACAGTTCCATTATGCCACGTTTGCCGACTAGTTGAGCAAGTCAGGGATCGACTCACCGAGACTCAGCTAGATTTATAACATGTTTGTTGATTAAATGTTTACAAGTGGCCAGATCCATTAAAATTCCCTCTTTTTCGGAGTCTAATTGTAGACCTTGACTTTTACGCAAGTTATAGGTTACGAAGTCAAGCATATGAGCAAATAGAAAAGACTTGAGTAATCGCTGCAATCTATATTTTATCTATTCGTTCGCTGCGTAGAAACTACCGTTATATGGTCTAAATTGTATTTTACAAGGTGCGTTCCAAAGTAAACAGTAAAAAAGTAACAAAGTAAACCTAGTAGCGCCATCTATATGTCGACTAGTGCGTTGAATCTGCTATCCTTTATCGACTTCCAGTAAAATTTCAGAAGTGAAGTTATTGCGTTTTAAGTGTCAGTATTTTTGTCATCGGTGCGAAAATGAGCTTCGAACAAAGAGCTAACATTAAATTTTGTTTTAAAATTGGTAAAACTTTTACCGAAACGTTTCAATTGATGGAACAAGTTTATGGCGATGATTGCCTATCCCGTAGCAGAGTGCACGAGTGATTTCAACGTTTTCAAAGTGGTCGTGAGGACATAAACGAGAAATGGGTCGAAACCCAAAAAATCGCGCCTGGAGAAGTCAAAAGTGAAGACAATGCTGATTTGGTTTATGATTCCAAGGGTATTGTCCACAAAGAATTTGTTCCACCCGGCCAAAAATTTAATGCGGTATTCTACCTTGGAGTTTTGAAGCGTTTGGTGTGCCGTATTCCACGTGTTCGGCCCGAATATCGCGAAGATGGAAGTTGGCGTTTGTTGCACAATAATGCGCGTCTCATCGATCGACGCTTGTGGCCGATTATTTGACCAAAAATCACATTTGAACAATCAACCACTCCCGTATTCACCTGAGTTGGCACTCGTTCGACATGCTTTTGGACCGTGCAAAAGCTGTATTAAAGCAGAAAGAGACTATTTTGAATAAATTAATTGATTTTGCCGATAAAACATTTGTTCTGTCTTTTTTTTAAAGTCCTGTTTACTTTGGAATGCACCTTGTATTCGCTAGCAACAGAGTTGCTTGGGTTGTTAGAGGCACCAGAATTGATTTGCGCAACCAAGTAATTGTATAAATATTAAATAATTTGTGCCCTAAGTCAACGAAAGCTTCACAACTAACCTTTAATCGTAACAATTTAAATTTCTAATTCATTTTGTCGAAAATTATGTTCTCAATATATTTTCGGTTTCGGATTATTTTGCTATTGTTTCCTATAGTAATTGCTTGCTAACGCATTCAGTGGCTTACATATTCCATTTCCAACGAATTCGATGTTGATATCGAGTACAACAACTACAATAACAGCAATAAAACAACAACAATGTGAACAAATTTACAAGCGCAATGCATCCATTGTTATTGTGATTGTGAAATTGCATTGGCATTCCGTTAAGTGTAAGGAACACTTTGCTGAATTATGCATGAGCGTCAAGTCAGGCGGCGAACTCTCCCCTCCAGACGTTGCAGCCAGCTGCTGGAGACATTGAAGCAGTTAATATTGCCACTTGGTGTTTGGTTTGTGTGTGTGCGCAGCTGCTGTATATGTGTGTATATATGTATGAAACACTACAGCAGATTGACATAGTCTAATGTTATTTAGCCAAACGCTTGTGTTGTTGATAGTTAAACACACTTGCAATAACATATAAATATCTACAAATACTCTTAAACAAATGACCTATCGGCGTTTGCATTTATAGGTCACTGTATAGTTGTCCTTTTAGTTACGTCACTGATCCTTACAATGCTTTTACTAACGCATACTTACACTCAAATACTTAGTTGTGTTTGTTGTTGTAGTTAACACCTGAATTTATAGTGCCTCAGCAGTTAAGTAGATTGTATTGAGATTGCAAAATGGAAAGTGATTGCTTGGTACCGTAAAAGCGTGCAGATTTAAATATCGGCAAGTGTAAAGTTAATTCTTAAGTTATTTTAATTAAAAAATATAGGAGTTGCCACTTTTTTCAAAATATTTAATGCAATTAGGATCAAATAAACAAATCTTGAAAATGTGGGTATTAAATTAAAAAGGTTGCACAAAGTTTACATAATGTTGTTTGAAGGGTTGCCACCTAATTTAAAATTAAAAATGACCAAATTGATAAGATAAATGAATTATTGCAAATTAAAAAGTTTGAGAAGAGCGTACATAACTTTTTATAGAGGGCTGCCACCTTTTTAAAATTAATGCTGTTCAAAAGGAATGCATTAAAAAACTTGGACTTGGATTTTCAGCTCTTTAAAAATTAAGAAATTATTATAAAGTTTGCACTAAAATAAATCTATTTTCACTTGTGAAAAATTTTGCAATCAAAAAATTTTTTTGATAACATAAAAGAAAGTTTAAAATATGAGTAATAAAGCCAAGTCAAAGTTTTCTGTTGACTGCTTTAAAAAGGTTAAGTCGTATCTAAAAATAGTTTTTTGGGTGTACTTTGCAATTATATAGTAACTATTCAAAAACGTTTACATTAAAACTTTCTGCGTCAACACCGATTTGTAATTTTTAATTTAACGAAATTGATAAGATAAACGTATTATTGCAATAGCGATATCTACTAATATACCTTAGGAAGGTTAAATATGGAATATATTTCTAAAAAGATTGCCTTTTGGAAATTATATAGTCAACCAAGATGGTGAAATTATTAAAATTCTAAAATGCAGTCAACAAACTAAGACGTTTTAAGACATATATGTACATTTGAATGGGTTGCCACGTTTTGGACAAAAAATAAAATGAATATTTTAGACAATTTTTAAATTTGGATACGTATATAAAGCGATCCCGAAATAAAAAAAATTTATTTAAATTTTTCGTGCACAAATTTTTATTGTATAGTGGGCCAGAGGAGGCCATAGTAAGAAATTCTATTTGTAATAATTCTAAAGCTACCCTCAACTGGTATTTGGCATATTTGAACATAGTTTACAGTTAATAAAACAAGGCGCTCACTGATTATATTATCTTCAACACAAGTAACGGAAGGGAGAAGCATAAAAATGAATAAAACTTACTCGTGAGTTCTCTGTTAATAACATTAGATATTGTATGATCATTAGTAGTAGATAAGTAGGATATTAGTAT